TATCATTTCATCCACTCAAAATTCTTTCTTTTGACAATTCTCTTTTGCTGTTGTATTTTTGTTGGTTCAACTACTCAACTTAAATCAGAATGGTTATTATATTTGTACTCAAGCACCTAGAGGTCCCAACTAAAAGGAAATTAATTCCGTTCTACTATAGTTGTCCTGGAAGTCATTGGACCAAGTCTGAAAATTAAGCCGTCCAAGGGAATGAAAGATGGACATAGACAAATATTTTCTAATGAATTTCCCCACTCCATACTCACTATACAAAGTTTGAAAAAGAAAAGGTAAACAAGAAAAACTACTATGCATACCAACCAAAAATGTAAATATGATCAGTCACCTGCCAGCCTTTCCCCTTAACGAAAATACACATCTCTGTATTTAAAATGCAATTTGGTTTTATTCTGTATTAGTAACTTTGTTGCAGGCTTAAAATATTATATCAAAGGTGATTACATCTGTCATTAAAACTGCCTTGAAAGCCTGTTTTTTAAATGTCTGCATATTCTAGCTAATGAATGAATTTACCATAATTGTTTTAGCTATTCTGATACTTACTTTCACTATTTTGCTAATAGAGTGAATTTGTATATAATAGAAGCTCCGATTATTGCCTCAGAATATGTCCCTGGAGGGAACTACCCATTTAAGAGTGTACATTTCCTCATGGGTATTCCGTGTCTGCTACAAATATCAATGTACAAATCTATCAGTAGTATATGTGACTGACCATTTCACGGATATCTTACCTGTACAGGTTTTTATCATTTTTCTACATATTTATTTGATTATCAGATTTAAATAATATCCTTTCGTTTCATTTGGATTACCTTGATAGAGAAATCTGTATTTCATCTATGGTAAACAGCTTATATATTTTATAAAGTACTGATAACTGCTATCACATGAACGAACTTAGAGAGCATTATAACAAGTAAAAATTGCAAATCACTAAAGACAAAAGATTGTGTGGTTCCATTCATATGGAATGTCCAGAATAGGTAAGTCCATACAAGTAGAACTGTAGTTGCCAAGGCAGGGGTAGGAGTGGGGAGAGAAGGTCTGCGTAGGGGGTGGCTGTGACAGGGAATTTATTTTGGTCATGTTGGCTGGGCAAGAGTTGTCAGTTTGACCCCCATGATGTGATCTAACATGATGTAATCAACCTCCCTGATGGGATCTGACATAATGCAATCAGCTCTGGGAGCAGCAAGCAGTTGTGGTGGAGTGCAGCCCCCTTGATTAAGTCACAACCTTGCTGCAATCAAAAGAAAGACACTTCAGGGGTGTGACTTGCCTTTTTTTTAACCAGACTCCATGGGAAATCTAGATCCACAATTGATGCTCATGGAGGCAGCAGTCAAGAGATCAAAAGTCGCACTGCATTGAGTAAATCTGCTGCACAAGACCTCTTTAAAGTGTTGAAAAGAAAGGATATTACTGTGAGGACGACAGAGACTCCAACACAATTTTTCCACTGTAAGCCTTCATTTATGAAAAATTAATCAACTTTAAGAAGCATTTGCTGACGAAGATGAAGGGCTGTAGCCTTCCGTATGGGTTACAACTTAGTTTAAAGAAAACCAAAATACTCTCAACTGGACCAATGGATGACATGACAAACAGAGAAGAGATTGAAGTTGTCAAGGATTTCATCTTGCTTGAATATAAAATCAGTGTTCATGGAAGCAGGGGTCAAGAGATGAGAAAGATGAATTGCATTGGGTAATCTGCTGTACAAGACACCTGGAGTCTTGATAAACAACGATGTCACTCTGAAGGGTAAGGTGCACCTGACCCAAGGCATAGTACTTTCAATTGCCTCTTATGCACGTGAACGTTGGACATTGACTAAGGAAGACAACAAAAGTGATACATTTGAATGATGGAGGTGGCGAAGAACATTGAAGCTACCATGGACTGCCAAAGAACAAACAGATCTGCCTGGGAAGACGCGCAATCAGATTGCTCCTCAGAGGCCAGGATGGTGAGATTTCCTTTGGACATGCCCTCAGGAGAGACCAGTCCTGGAGAAGGATATCATGACTGGTAGAGTAGAGGGGCAGTGAGACAGAAGGCTCTCAAGGAGATGGGCTGACACTGTGGCTGCAGCATGGGCTCCAACATTAGAACAATGGTGAGGAGAGCACAGGACTATGCTGTGTTCTGTTCTGCTGTACACAGGGACACTATGAGTCGGAACCAACATGAGGGCACCTATAATACAAGAAAGCTGGTCACTTCTGCTAGATCTGGATTTTGCATGTGGTTCATCAACTTCCTACCATATTGTTTGCCAATCCCCAAACTCATCAGAGGACTGCCAACCCCTGGATTCGACTCTGAATCCACCACTCTGTGGTATTCCTGCGGCTTCTTCCTACTAAATGGCTAGTCGGTCTTCAAAGATACAAAAAATCAAGATTAGCCTCCAGCTTACCATCTGTGGCAGTTACATAACCTGACAATTTGAGAAAGGGTGGAGTCTAGCCTGTCAATCAGGCCACAGCCAATGATGCCTCTGTGTGGGCATGGCCTTCTCTGAGGATTCTGGGAACTCCTATCTTCCTCCTGGGAGGCAGGACAGACACTCTTTGCCGGTCTTCCTGTTGACAAGCTACATGGAGCTACACTGATGCAGTTAGAGCCCTGGAGCTGGAGCAGCCACAGGGAGCCCCACACCAGTGCTGAGATGCTTCCACCACCACTGGACCCACATGACTTACTCAGAAACTAGTATTGGCATTTGGAGTAATATCAGACTTATGGACTTTATCTGGACTGGGCTGAGATGTTTTCTTAATATACAATTACTTTTTGATATAAAACTGTCTTACACACATCTGAGTGTCTCTGGATTTGTTTCTCTAGTCAACCCAGACTAACACACCATCTGACCCACAGACTTGAATCAGACTAGACTTAACCATCCTTGTATGAGCCATTTCTTGATATAAATCTCATTCTCTCTATATATATGTGTCACTAGTTTGCTTCTCTAGAGAACCCAGCCTAATACAGTGCTATGGATACAAGACTTTTCCATGAGACAGTGAAAATCAGATTACGCTAATGGTTTCACAGCCTGTCAATCTACTAAAAAACACTGACTTACACACATCAAATAGGTGAAATGTAAGGTAGGTCATTGTATCTCAATAAAGCTGTTTTTAAATGTATGTGTCAATATATTGTGGTTGCTAATTGGTAGCGAGTTGGTTTTGATCCACAGTAATCTTATGCACAACAGAACAAAACACTCCCAGGTCCTGTGCCACCCTCACAATTTTTTTTTTTAACCACATGTCCCAAATGTTTGTATTTCCCTCATATTTAATTGATAGTCTGCTTGAGTATAGAATTATGGGCTCACGATACTTTCGTCACAATTTGGAAAGTGCTGTAGAGCACTTTCATCTTCTACCATTCATTTTACCAGTAATAGAACTGATGTCAACCGGAAGCTTTTCTTTGTAGATAAACTATTTTTGCTCTCTGGAAGCTTTCGGTTATTTCTTCCTTGTTGCTGGTATGCGGAAATTTCCAAAGATGATAATTGAATATGGGCCTTTTGTCATCCTTTTATTCTGTACTCCCTTGTCCTTTTGAAAAGACTTGTCTGTCTTTCGTTTGGGGTGGTTTACTCCTATTATTTCTGATGATCACCCACTCTCTCCACGCTTTTTCAATCTTGATGTTAGAGACTAACAAAGTTCTCTACATCTGGTGGCTTTTCGTATTTTCCACACTTCTCAGTTCAGGGTTATATTTTGAGGCCTTTCTGAGCTTAATCTTCAAGATACCTTATTTTCTGCAAATAATGCGCCAATAAAGTAATGGATATACACGTAGAATAATGGGTGGGAATAACAAGATAATGTTAAAAATCTCTCACATGGTGGGCCCCTTCATGTCCTGTGACATTTCCTGAAATAAATTCCAGCCTTGTTCATCCTTATTCAATAGTCCAAAGTGTTACTTTCGATCATATTTGTATAATAAATATGTCATGAAGCCATAGATCAAGTTTGGTTGTTATTGTTAAGTGCTGGGTGTTGTTGTATTGGTTCTGCCTCATCACGACCCGAAATACAACAGAAGAAAATACTGCTTGATCTTGTGTCATCCTCACAGGCTTACTGTTGAACTCATTGTTCCAGCCACTGGGCCATTCGCTGCTGAGGGTTTTCCTTTGTTTTGCCCACCTTTTTCCTTCACCAGGCACTGGTCCTTTCCATTAAGATGTTCAAAGCACATGAGGTGATGTCTTGCCATCACAGCGTTTAGGGCACATTCTTGATGATTTTCTCAGTTTTACCACTTGCTAAACTTATATTGCCTGTACTCTAATACCAGTATGGCTGTTACTCTACATATCATACTTGCAGCTCCACCTCCAGGCCCATATGCCATTCTGCTACGACCATGGTTCACTTTGTCAAGATTTACTACTGTCCACAAATGCCCAACCTCAAGAATTGGCAATAAGAGAACTATTAACTCCTATTACTATTACATAGTAACATCAAGTAGGAGATTTAGATTATACTGAGTAATAACCAAAAAGACCCACCATAATCACATAGGAATGGGAAATTGGGAGTGGGGGAGGAAAAGGGGAAAGTAAGTATTTAAAGACTTCTTTCCAAAGATCGAAACTTCATACTGGTTTACACAAAGACCTAACACCCCAATGTTTCCCACTCTACCTGGCCTTGATTTTCATAAGAATGTTACCAAGAGAAGGTTTCGCAAATTAAGTTATTAGTCTGAATGATGTTTCAATAAGCTTTACCTCTCACTATAGTTGATTCTAAGTCTTAATCAATTCACAAGAGGAAAAGAAAAATTCCTCTCCCTTAATAACATAGAACCCACTAACTGTTTATCTTTAATAATGGGAATCTACTCCAACTGACAATTACTAAGCCAGATTTGAGTGCTGCTCCCTATGTAGATGGAGTTCATAAATTAAATGATTCACATTGCTTTACCTGATACATTCCAACTCCAATGTGCTTCGGCTCAATTTTCACAAGCTCAGCTAATGGATCTTGTACACGCCTTGCTATGGAAACTGCAAATAACAGAACCAGAAAACAAGTAAGGCATAATGTAGAAAACAGTAGCAGGATAATTACTTATATTCAAGCACATAATCCCTTCCCTTATCCTCTCTTACACACACACACACACAGACAAACACAAATTAAGGTTGAAAGTTCTTTTTCTTTCACATAAAAAAGTAAATGTAATTTTTTCAGAATTAATTACATTGCCAGATTTCTGGGATGTTTCTTGCACAAACAGATGGAAAGGATTATGGATCTAGAATTTAAAAAATGTTTGGTTGTTAAACTTATATAGTTACCTGTTTATTATTTAAAAACAGAACAATGAGTGCATCTGATGCTTTAAAAAATTAGTAAGATATTGCTGAAATTTACATCTGTAATTTTCTCCTGAAAATCACATCTATTTGTAAATCAAATATATTTATGGGGACTGGATCCTGATCAATTCAAACTCAAACTCACAACCATCAAGTCAATTCTGACGCAAAGCGACCTTACTGAACAGGGCAGGACTGCCCCTATGGATTTCCAAGGTTATAAAGCTCTACGTAAGGAGAACGACGTGCGGGGCATGCTTCCCATAAAAAGTTAGTCTTGGAAACTCAAAGGGGGCAGTTCTACCCTGTCCTATAGGCTCACCATGAGCCTGCATCGACTCGATGGGAAATCTTTATAGAAGCAGAACGCCACATCTTTCTTCTGCTAAGTGGCTGGTGGGCTCCAACTCACAGTCCACGTTGCTGTGAGGGCTCCTTTGACTCTCGACAGCAAGGAATACACAATGGAAACATTTCTTAATGCAACCAGAGATCAACTCACTCAACGAGTGAACACACTTGCACTACCTGAATATGATTGTAATTTGATTCTGTGAAATGATCGTTAATAGTCCTTACTGGTGGACTCCTAATACAGTTTCTAATCACATCCCTCAACCATTACAATTCATGTTTAAGAAACTTGATGGCTAACTTCAAACACTCCTATATCTACCTAATGATTTTGCAGCAGATTATTTACTATGGCTCTTTTAGGCATAGCCTTTGTTAGTCCTACCAAATGACCTTCCTTTCCCTGCCGAGTCTACATAAGAAGTTGGGGAAGATATGATTGGCTTATATGATTCAACTGCCAGTGGTTATTAACAGAGTTCTGAGTGATATCCTGCTGGGTATAAAAGGAGGCATCTCAGAAGCAGGAGGGAGGGATCCCACTACCAGCAGGAGCTGAAGCAAGAGCATGAGTCAGAACAGTGGATTTCCCAGCTCACAGAACAAGTAAAGCTGAGTGCTTTGGGTCACAAGCCTGGCCTATCGAGGAAGGTAACTCTGGGAACATTAAGGGACCTGCAGCTGCAGAACCACTGAACTGGAGCCTTTGATTTGGGGCTTGTAAAGTCTTAATTCGTGTTCTCTATTTTACCTTGCTGGGTTCTCATATCCATTATAATGACGACACCGAAGTCATGAGAAAATTCATGATTAAAGGGTTTATTATGGAAGTGAACAAGTTGTAAGGCCAGTGAGAAACACTCAGGGTTGTTTATCAGGCTATGTTACAAAGTACTGTCAAGCCTACTAATAAATGCTCTTTGGGCATTTGTTAGAGGGCATACCACTCTGCTATAAGCCTAAACCTCAAGTTCCTTGGGTCAGCAAACCCAGCTCCTGAATTAAATGCCAAGAGGCACCCCACCCCAGTAAGCAGCCCAAAGGTCCTCAAGCTCTATTTCCCTGCAAGTCCAACTTCCCCAATTAAGTGTCCAGAGGCACCCTACTCCATAAACAAGCCTTCTGCATAAAAAAACAAACAAAACTCGGCTGTACTTGTTCGGTGGATTTGGAAAGCCCATCACTTTGTTCCATGCTCTGGCTCCTGCTCCACTGGTGGTACAGCTGTCCTCTGGATCCAGGAGGTTCACTGCATGGTATCTCAGATCCACAAGACAAACTACTCCTGACACTTGCTGGTAGTGGGATTCTTCTACCTGCTTCTCAGAGGGCTCATCTAAGACCCAGCAGGATGGCATTCCTGGGAATACTATCATTATCTTCCCCCAACTTCTTACCAATCCCATGCAGGGAAAAGTGGCTTGGTGGGAGTTAGAGACTTCAGCTAGAAAAGCCACATTATTTACTGCTCATAGAGGAGTGGAATGCTCTACGGGCATTTACAGGGAGCCCTAAAAGAGAGCTGTAACGTTGCCTGAGCAAGGCAGAGGCCATACCAAGAGGCACAGAGCCAGAGAAAGGCCTGCCTGTGGGCACAGCAGAGAAACTGTCCTCACTGAACAACTGTATCCTGAGCATTCTCACCTCAACTGTAAATTATTAATTTTCCTAAAAACCGCCATAATTGTGAGCAATATTTGTGAGTTCTATATGGCCACTGCAAGAAATTATAGAGCCCAGCTGAAAAGTAGAGCAGCGGGAGGGGCAGTTGCTGTCAGAATTGGAGGAAGGCTGGAGAGTGAGACAAGTCTGACCTCGGCCTGGAGGTCAGATGTGGCCCCAAGCAGATTCCTCAATTGCTATCAATATATTTTTTCCAAATGTGAAAGCATTATATCTACTTAAATTTGCATAGGCTAAGCTTGGAAAGACACATTTCTTATTAAGTTTAAGTATACTGCTGAAAGCAGCCTTCTGTTTTCTAAGTGAGTTTCCTTGAGTCCCTCCGTAGGAATGGCTTCTATTTTTCTACACACATGAAAGTGAGTGTGACCTACTCATACAGAAGGTTGGATGGATTGTAAATTAATAAAGTGAAATCATTAAGACCATCACAGGAAACCATGTGCCTGTATTCATGTTCAACTGTTCAAGGTCTGGCAACAGAAGCCACCTCTTGCAAGTGACTATCAGATTCTCCAGTCACTTAATTTGCATCACCACACTCATTACAGATAATGACTCCAACGAACATCAAGTTCACTGCACAGTCACTCAAGTCTCTACCAGATGCTGTATTATTACACATAACATAGTGACAGTAGCAGCTCAAAAAGCAAGCTGAGAGCAACAGGCTGGTGCCATACAATCTGCCAGGATCTTGCTCAGTGTGATGGGGATCCCTTGACTCTCTTCACATACACCTTCCTTGTCAACACTCACAAAGGGCTAATTAGAATAAACTTAGTGGGTTGGGAGAGAAGTGCTCTCCTTCAGGTAGCTACACTGATGACGAATTGGTGGAAATTACAGCCCCACCAGAGAAATGCCAGATGCTCTTTTAAGAAAATAGTATCTCTTCATCCTAGGCTTTAATGTATAAGGATAAGTCAATAAGTATTGCTACAGGATCAGAGGCCTTTATTAAATAAAAATATCAAACTGTAGGGCTACTATTGCTCGCCATATATTCCATCTAGATCTATTCACTTCGAAAGGTGGTATCTCCATCTGGCTAATCCTTCCCAGAAGACTTCTGCTATCTTCAATTGACACCTCATCAAAATGGCGGTTTTAGCTTCCTAGAGGGGCTCAAATCATAGTCCTTTTCAATGGCCTTGAGTTTGGGAAACAAAAAGGAGGCCGAAGGAGCAAGATCGGGGCTACAGTGTTCCCTAATCAAATTTTTCTTAGCTAGTCCTTACCCTCCTCCATGGATGGAACAGGGGTATTAGATAATGAAAAAAGATTCCTTGACACAACTTCCCAGGGCCTTTCTTACCATAAGCAATTCCACAGAGACAGTAGATTAGGGGTTGTCAGGACTTCAGGAGAATTGGAACTCGGAATGATTGCTAATGGTATCAGGTTTCTTTTGAGGGTATGGGAATAGCCTAAAATTGGACAATGGTGTAGTCTCACAACTGTATGATTATGCTAAAAAACAATAAACAAACAAAAGGCACATTCACTTAGAAAAATAAACAATACTGACTTGCATACTTTAAAAGGTAAATTTTATGGAAATGAAATATTTCAATAAAGTGACTGTGCATTTTTTTAAAGTAGTATGTCCAAATGTGTGCAAAATGTGATTTTTACATACAAATGAAGTGAAGATTTCACTGTATGACTACTATTGCTCTTCATTGTTCAGAAAATTAAGAAAGTACAATATTATAAAGACAAAAAACATACAGATGACTCTTGAAAATTCAAGAGTCAACTGAAAATATATCAGAACTAGTTTCAAAACAGCCACACAAAATCTAGTGTTGTTCTATATATTATCACCAACCAATAGAAAAGATCCTGGAGAAAAAGCCAATCACAATTGTGTGTGTGTGTGTGTGTCCTGTAAGTAATAAAAGGACATTATTCAGAGTCTGAGTGAAGCCATAAATTTAACAGAAATTTGCTTTACATACAATAGATTTTTAAAATAATAATTTAGTGGCTCTGGGAACCCTGGTGGCATAGTGGGTTATCTACACACTGGGCTACTAACTGCAAGGTGAGCAGTTGGAAACCAGCAGCTGCTCTGTGGGAGAAAGAGGAGGCTGTCTACTTCAGTAAAGGCTGACAGTCATGGAAACCCAAGGGACACTTCCGCTCATTAGTGACCTGGTGATTTCTTCGTGAAACTTTTACTTCAGCTTCGCTTACATTGGTCAGCCTCCTAATCTGTCTGGAAAAGGTTTAGTCCTCTCTATGGAGCCCTGAGGGCACTGTCAGGCAAATGTTGGGACTACTGATGACAAAGCTGGTGGCTCAAATTCATCAGGCTCGACTCAGGAGAAAGATAAGACTAACTACTCGTGTAAAGAGTTACAGCCTTGGAAACCCTAGAAACGGTTGCTGTAAATTGGAATCAACTTCTTGGGCTGATTAGCCGTGAGTTTGGGCTAAGGGAAGACCTGGTGACAGTGGTTTTGTGTTTGTCTGATAACCAAAAGGTTGGCTGTTTGAAGCCCCAGCCTCTGCCTTGAAGAAAGATGTAGTCTCAGAAACCCGATGAGGCTGTTGTACTCTGTCCCGCAGGGTTGTTGTGAACCAGAATCGACTGGACGGCAACAAGCTGGCCTGGTTGAGTGCAAGGTCTCTAAAAGAGCATGCACACCCTTACTCAATTCCCCCTTGCCACCTGTAAGCTATATTTCCAAGGGACAGTCCCCTATTTAATCCACTCCAGAGAACACATCTTCCAAGTTCTACTAAGGTGGAAGAACAGTTACTCAGCCGTGTAGAATGGAAGCTCTAACTATTTTTAAATGAGGTGAAATTCACATAGCATATAGTCACTATGGTAAAGCATGCAATTCAATGTCATTTCACATGTTCATAATGTGCAATCATCACCTGCATCAAATTACAAAGACATTTTCATAACACCCAAAGCAAACTCCATACCCATTAAGCAGTCACGCACCATTCCTCCCTCTCCTCAGCTCCTCGCAGTCACCAAACCATTTTGTTTATTCTGGACATTTCATGTAAATGGAGCTCTATAATATGTTGGTTTAGAAATTTTTTTAATGACAAACTTCTTTCCCTTAGCATAATGTTTTCAGTTAACCACACTGTAAGCTATATCATCAAGTCATTCCTTTTATGGCTGAATGAAATGCCATTGTCTGGATCTGCCACAAGTTGTTCACTCACTCATCCTCTGATGGCCATTTGGGCTGTTTCCACCTTTTGGTTTGTGTAAAGGATGCTGCTATGAACATGCATGCATAAATATTTGTTTGTGTACTTGTTGCAATACTCTAGGGAATATACCTAGGAGTAGAATTGATGGGTCACATGGTAATGCTGTTGAAATTGATCTAAAGAGTTGCTTAAACAGACTTGCAATCAATTCTTTTGTTTTAGATTCAGATGTAATCCTACCACATTTACCCAAAGGTAACTGGTGTCATTTTCTAAACCTGTAAAAGATGGGCTTTCCATGATCTCCATAAAGTTATTTCTGTTTCAACAATGCTGGGAATATACTCAAAATTGTATTTTGGCTCTCATGGACTTATTTTCATTGACTTCAGCTTCAACCTGCACTCGTATATGAGCAATTGATGGTTTGCTCCACCATCACCGCTGGCTTCATTTGCGCTTCTTCATCATCTCTTTCCACAAATTTGATAGTCAGTTTGATTCCTGTGGGTTCCATCTGGCGAAGGACTGGTATACAGTCACCATCTATGTTATCGAAAAACGGTATTTTCAATGAAGAAGCCGTTGGGTCTTGCAAAATTCTACCACCTAATCTCCAGTTTGCTCCTATAACAAAGACTTGTATCTTCCAACACCATTATTCCTTCTTCTTTCACATGCCAATTGCCAATAATTGATGACATATTTGATCAATTTTAGATTCAAGGGCAGTGGAAGAATCTTTAAATATCTTTACCTTTGGCTGTAATGGTTGGTGTGTAAATCTGAATAACAGTTTTACTAAATGTACTTCCTTGAAGGCATATCCTATCACAGACAGCATTGTACTTCAAGACACAGCTTGAAATATTATTTTTGACGATGAATGTGAATTTGTCATTCCTGGCAGAGTGAGGCATAAGATTGTCTGCCTTAAAGTGGCTAATACCAATCCATTTCAGCTCACAAATGCTTAGAGATGGCAATGGTTGTATTGACATATAATTCACATATAATTATACAATCCAGTGGTTGAATATTAAAAATAATTGTGCACTCATCACCACATCAATTTTAGAACAGTTCTTTCTTGCACTCATTAACTTCCCCTTTTTCCCAACCTCCCCTGCCATAATCCTAAGAAATGCTCAATCCAGTTATTGTCTCTATACATTTACTATCCTGCACTTCATATACAGAAAAATATACATATAAAAAACAACAATAACAAAATGAAAACAGAGAAAAAACTCAATAAAAAAGAGCAAAAATATATTAAAAAGTAGGTCAGATTTAGTGGGTCAAAGGGAGAACAAATGATAAAATGATACATTTTAATCGAACTACATCTGCATGCATCCACTTCCCAATGCACTCTGTCTCACAGCAAGGTCATTCACACCCCGTCGGTGGTCAGAAGGGACTCACTAAAGGCTAAGCCACATGGAGACCCTGCCAATGAATTGAGAACTCTCACTGTTAGGATATCAATCTTTATGTGTTCCATTTCATCTTTGACGATTTCCAATTTTCTTCGATTCTCACTTTGTACTTTCCACATTCTGATTATTAATCGCTGTTTACCGCGTGTCTTGTCATTTTGAGTCATGCCCCCGTCAGCAAATGAAGGTCCTGAAAGCGTGACTCCTCCAAGTCCCGAAGGTTGACCCTGCTTTGAGCAGGCAGTGCTTCCCCAGTAATACTGAGCGCCTTCCACCCTGGGGGCTCATCTCCCAACAGTCCTCTGACAAAATTCCACAGCCACTCAACTGGCTTTCCGAGGCTACGCCCTCACAAGTGGACAGCCTGTTTCTTCTTCGTAGTCTGTTCTTGGTCTGGAATCTGTGCTGAACCTTGTTCACTATGGGTGACCCTGCCGGTATTTGAAAATACCAGAGGCTTATCTCCCAGCACCACAGCACACACAAATCACCACAGTACAATGAACTAACAGGCAAGGAGTGATGGCCTGCAGGAAGTGGGTTGCCCGGCTTTTATACTGAGGTGTCCATAAATTATATCACTGCCATTTAAGTAAAATTTCAGAAAGAAGTATAGAGCACAATATTCTATTTTTAATGAAAACTCATAATAAACATTTTATACAATTCATCTACCATTCTATCCATCCAATTTAAATGTTTCTCATATACAATGTATTCTAGGAGATATAAACATATAAGAATGACCTGTTTTTGTGTTGATACATTTGAGAGAAAGAGGTAGTAGTATCAAGTTCATTTGCTTACATATGTTTAACACTTGTGTGAATGACAAAGTACAGTTATATTCTGGAGGGTGGCAAGGTACAATTCAGAGC